GCAAACGACTTGAAGGCACGTAACAACAACAACAGTCCCGGAATGCTGCTAAACATACCACAGTGCCGAGGATTGTCCCCAACGAAGAATGAACTTGCTCAGAAAATCAAAAGTGATAAGCCCTACTCACCAAGTCCACTTTTCCAGGCATTGTAACTATGACTGGGTAGTGTGACATGAAGGTGCAGAAGTCAAAAGTGTTCTCTGAAGGATGCTGTTGCAATGACAAAGTGCCCTTGGGAAAGGCAAAATGCAAAGGACCTAAGAATGCTCTACATAGCATTTTCTTCAACAATGATCTGGGACTTACTATTATCATATAATTAAATAAAGCACATTCCTGACTTACCAAAACAATACTGCTTTCTGGAAAGGTCCTCATCCATAAATCACTGAAGGGTCCAATAAAACCTCTGTCAGTTTTTTTTTTATTTACTGTAATAATATGGCCACACAGTTTCCCCTAATTTTGAAGATTAGATTACCACACAGTTCAACATCAGTCTAGGTGGGGACACAGAGGCCCAATAGTTACCAGTGGTTACCTGGGTGGGCAGTCTTTTTCATGGCACTTCTTCTGTCGTGCACTGGGCTGGGTATCTGGGTCACAGAATGTTGCCTTCACTGCTCCTCGTCCCTTCTTTATGCAATAAGCAGTCTGGCGGCGGATACCTGGAGAATCAGGAAGAAAGACTCATGTTCTTTGAATACTAAACCCTTATCTTCAGTTACAAGTTAGCTATGGAATCATGTCAAGCAGTCATGCTTAACTTGGATGAGAAAGTTGTCAAAAGTGTTTAGTGTGTAATGTAGTGAGAAAGAATGGCGGCCCATACTTGTCTACACTCACACTACTGTGCGGTGGGAGGGACACTACTTAGGACACGCTTCAGAAAACAGATTACTGAATTTGTTAAAGGGCATGGATTTAGGTGTCAAATACATGTAAAATTATATGCTAGTCATGTACTCAAATTCTCCACTCGTATACTCAACATAAAAACAGTACTGATAAGGTTGGTTGCATGTATACCATGAGATACAATGTTTGTCACTTAGCAAGTACTTATATACTATTATTATTGAGTAGATTCTGGTTTTCCAAAGATGCTACTATGTATGGGAGGAGGCTGTATATCTTTCTCCCATGAGTAGTTGCTAGTGAATTGAAACTACCAACCTTGTGGGTAACAGCCCAACACATTATACACTATGCCAGCAGGACTCCTTTCATAACTACTAGATATTATTAAATACTAAGCACCTAAAGGTTTTGAGGTGGACAATGAATAAGGTTGACAGAAGAAGAATTGACGCCTTTAAACTGTGGTGTTGGAGAATGCTGACTCTCCTGTCGAAAGAGCAAATAGCTATATCTTGGAGAGGGTGCAGCTAGAGAGTACAGCCTAGGAAGCAAAGATGAGAAACTCTGTCTACCATATTTTGGGCATGGTGTTAGGAGAAGCTATTCCTTGGAGAGGAACAACTTGTTTGGGAAGGTGGAGAGATGGTGAAAGAGAGAAAGGTCCTCAACCAGGTGGACTGACAAAGTGACTGCAGCAATGGGCTTGAATGTGTCAGAGATTGTGAGAGTGTCACAGGATAGGACAGGGTTCAGATCTGTTGTTCATAAAGTTAGCTATGAGTAGTACTCAACTTGAAAGCACCGAACAACAATCACAACAAGCATCAAATGAGTGATCACAGAACGTTTCTTAAATCTGAATCAGATTCAGCCTTGGTGAGTCCTCATGGCCAACACTAACTCATTCAACAGATTATTGTTTGAGCACCTGCAATATGACAGGGTCATGTTTTAATTTAGAAGTATAGAAAGGTATTTAAAACAAAGTAACTAAGTTTAAAAAGGCTATAATCTATCTGTAGCTACTGGACTAACACTCAGGTGCTGCCTTAGTTATCTGTTGCTGCTTTAAGAGAGATGCTACTAGAGGTTGGCTTTAACAAACATTTTTATACAGTCTCTCACTGTTCAGGAGGCTAGAAGTCTGACTTCAGAGGATGGATTCTAGGGGAAGAATTTATCTTTGTGTGTATCTCTTAGCTCTAAGAGTTTCCTGACACAGGGATACTGAATTCAGAGAACACACTCTGTTCCTGGCTCTTCTTTCTTGGAAGTAATAGGTCCTGTTCTCTGCTTCCTTTTATATCTTATAAAACAAAATGTGGGTGGTACAAGCCACATCCCAGGGAAACTTCCCTAAAATTAGATCAGGGTTGTAATCTGATTCAGAGTATTACATTCCATTGTAATCCCCTTATAATTTATTGGTTTATCATATTAGATATTATCTTTACGTGACTATTAAATTAGATTATTATATAATTGCCAAACCACTGAGCATCAAGGCCCAGGCAAGTTGACATGTATTTTGGGGACACATACAATTCAATACACAGTATATACCAACTGGAAAACAACACAAGACAGGAGATGCCATTACCAAGTATTACAAGGTTATTGCTACATCATTACCTAAATAAAAGTATATAGAAGGCCCTTAGAACCCTTATTGCCATTGAGTTGGGATCAACCGATAACTGGCCCTCCAGAAAGTATTCAGAAGCTGTAAACAGCATGAGAAGAGGTAGCCTATCTTTCTCCTACAGAGCCACTGGTAGTTTCCAGGTTGTAGGAAGAACAGTTCCCTGGGCTCACAGGGAGGCCATGCCTTGAGTTCATTCATCATTGCACAGACCTCAGGCCTCCATTGCTCTAGGTAGTCCTAAAACTGTCACCTTGACACACTTCCTTTGCTGATGGCACAGAGGGACCTGAAGTCTCAAAGCTGATAGGCTGAGCTGGACCAAGCACCTCACTCACTCCCCTCCCAGGACCTCATTATTGATCCATTCCAGCTAGACCTCTCAGGCTGGCTTTCAACCCCAGAGCAAAACCACATGGTACCATATCATGTAGAAAATGGCAAGAAGGAATTGCAATACAGTCCGTGCTGTCTTTGAAATGAACCAACAATATTATTGCTAAGAAAAGAGCATTTCAAGAAATGAAAATGGCAAGGAATATTTTAACCACAAGGTCTTCCCCAAATAATAGACTAATAGAGTCTTCTTAAGTCTTAAAAAGAAAACACCGTCAAGAACTGGACACAGCCTCATCGGAGGAGATTTTACAAAATAATTAGCTTACCTAAAGTCATTTGTTGGGAGAAATAAGCATCTACAGAAGTGTCCTGTTATTGTTAAGTGTCATTAAGTCAATGTCAAGTTATAGGGACCTTATATACAACAGATCAAAACTCTGCCTATCTCATGCCAACCTCACAATCTCTGCTGGTTGAAGCATATTACAATCATTTTGTCAATCCTTCTCTTTGAGGGACTCCCTTTCTTTTGCTGACTGATTCTTTACTTTTCCAAATACTGGCTCCTCCTAAAAGCATGTTTATCACATATGAGATGAAGCCTCACCATTCTTACTTCTAAGAAGTATGTTTGATGCATATCTTTTTAGCTGGGAGCAGATAGGTTCCTGGCTTATGATGAACCCATATACAGTGGAACAAATACTGCATGGTATTATGCTATTCCCATGACTGGTTGCAGATGAGACCATTGTGGTTAGACCTTTCTCCCCAATTGGTCTTTAACTGGAAATTCTGCTGAAATCCGTTCAGCATCGTAGCAAAATACAGATCTCCACTGACAGACTATGCATGAAATGTGCTGGTAAAGAATTGAAGTCAGGTCTCCAATAAAGAAGTTAATAATTCTACCATTGGACTATCAATATTCCTCAAAACATGCTAGTGTCGCTGAGTTAAAAACAGAAATGAACAAAGTCAGAAAACTGGACATATATCTGCCATTGTAGTGTAGGAAAAGAAAAGCTTAGGTGATCAGAAATTTTATGAAAATATTGGTGAGTGTGACAAATTCTTATTATCAAAACATAAAAGGAAATTGTGGTATGACTGTAAGAGGTTAGAAATATTCCCCAAAAGATTTATTTCTGTTTTATGAGTAATATGGTAAGCACACTTATTGTTCCTGACCCAAGAGTAGTGTAGTGTCAAGGGCTTATTGTTCAGAATGTCTTTCCTAGCCATTAAATTTGGTTTTGTCAAATGGATGGGTGAGATTATCCAAATAGGGATGCTAGTCTATCCATAAAGGAAATGGCTATTCTCACCATTAAATCAAGCAGACTGAGCAGCAGAATTAAGGAATCACAGCCGATGAGAAAAAAGGAAGCAGTAGTGTGTCCTTTGGAGCAAGAAATTCCTGCACCGGCCAGACAAAGATCTACAAGAGCAACAGCAGCCTCAGCAGAGAATGAGAGATCATGTAAGACAGAGCTAATTTAGGACTGCTGCTCCACTGAGACTGAGCCAAAAGCCTTCAACCACGCTTGCTGGAGGATTGAGGCAAGATGCCATAATTAGCAAGATGAAGGCGAATTTGTAACACTGAACTAAACTGTGAGGCTGGAAGATTAAGGGTGTTTGATCATGCTTGAGAAGCTGTCTCAACTAAGGGACTGTATTCTCATGTCAACCTGAATTATATTATGTCAACTTCCCTAATGAATCCCATAACTATCAATACGGTTCTCTAAAATCTGTGTAGTCATTGCAATGGATTTCTAATCCAGTAGAGCAGAAAGACTGGTGTTGAGATTAGTAAAGTAGGTGCAGGAGGGAGACCATGTATGACCCAATAGGAATGGGTTTTGTACTATGAATGTGTTTTTTTTTATTATTATTAAATTGTGTTAGTTTTAATGAACATTTACAGGGATTTTGGGTTTTCATTCCTTCATTGCTGCACCATTCTCTCTACCCTCCTCCCCAGTTTGTTCTTCTTCCCCGCCATCCGAATGTCTGTTTTAATTGTCCAATTGCCACAGTGCTTGTCAAAGTCAGTTCTGATTAATGTACTATGAATGTTGTTCATGGGAACAGGTTCCCTTTGTGGAGTTAGTAAAAGGCAGAGTTGGCTGTCTTCAAGCTGTTCTCACTTTTCTTTACAAGTAATAAGTGGGCATCAAACCTTACCAAATACCTGAGAATATCATGTACTTCAACTTGATTAGCAGTTATGAACATAAAAACTGATCAGGCAGATGGAAAGGACCTTCCAGATGACTCCAGCCCCAGGTATTCAGGTCACCTCCTGACATTTGAATCACCCAATAAGATTTACTAAGAGTTTATATCTCTTTAGATCTGGCAATCCAGTCTTCCTAGCTGAGGAACCAATCACCATATCGTAGAAACACACCATCACCACTGTTGTTGTAATGTAACATTAAGTTGACTGCATTTCACACTGACCCTATGCTCAAAAGCTCTGAAACCTACCCTATCCTGAGCCAGTATCACTAACTCTGACAATCTACCCCAATTACCCCAGTTACTGTATCAATCTATCTCATCCAAGGTCTTCTTCTCCAGTGCTGATCCTCCAACTTTCTAAGCATGATGTCCTTCTCCTAAGAATAATCCTTCCTGGCAACATGCCAAAAGTATGTGAGTCTGAGTTTCAAAATCCTTTCCCCCAAAGAGCAACTTGGTTTTGTCATCTCTAGGAAAGATATGTTAGTTCTCGTGTCATGTACAATACTTTCGTCTAGCACCGTAACTCAGAGACATTAATTCATCTTCTGTCATCCTTATTCATTGTCTAGC